CAAACGAAGGATCGGGGAAGAAGAAGAGACAAACGGACGAACGTTCGAAAAAAAAAAAAAAAAAAAAAAAAAAAAAAAAAAAAAAAAAATCACGTATTTATAAAAACACTGAACCTATAATTATATCTATATGGAAGTGATAATATAAACCTATTGGAACTAAAGTTTATCTTATAAAATAACTTGAAAAGAATGCATAAGAAAATACAACTAAACCTACGGTTTCAACTCCATGATACCACACACTGCTTATTTTATGCAGACTATAGAGCGAATAATGATCAACTATGGAGTCTATATAACAACAAAAATATCCTACAGTCTTGATTTATCAGAAAATATGGCAAATAGAGACCTTAGATAATAATAGTAATGAAAGTACAACATAGGTTCTTAGTATTACAAAGAAAAGGCAAGGGATGCTGGTATTGGGCGTGAGCGGTCGCGCATGCTAGGGTGACATTATGAGCCCCTGGCAGCGGGGCCCGGGCCACTATGAACACACCCCGGGAGAGCGACCTTGCGCGTCGGGATGCCACCCGTCGGTAATGGGTTAATAAGATGATAATCATAGATAGTATAGGGAACAAATCACTTTTATTTGAATTCTACAGTTTATATTGTATAGGACTGATAAACACAACAAAGTGAAGATACAGTTATCATTAATCCTGATAACAAAATATAAGAATTTCTCCTAGTACAGACATATTTGTAATACTAAGATTGTTATTGTACTACATTGGTTGTAAAGTCATATCTGTGGCATAACATTAAAACTTTTTAGGAGAGTGGGCATAAGAGTAAGGAGACACCTGTGGAGTATAAGCAGAAGCTGAGGAAGATGAATCATGGTTACCTGGAAAGGGAGATATGGCAGGCACTGGATATGCAGATTGTTGCACAAGTTCTGCTAAGCAGCTTCTAAATGTCAGCTTCTGCACAGCAGGAATTCATTTGACATGAGGTAACAAACTTTTGAAGAATATCAGATCCTTGTCATCCCCTTTTCTTGCTTGCAATTTATTTTTTCTTTCAAGTACTGAATTTTTTGTTGTTCAATATCCAAGATGCTCTGGTTATAGTCATCTGTTTTAGAGCATTTGCTGCCTCCCTGGCAGGTGATGTAAGTCATTGCTTTTCTATAACTTCATCTTCACGTTCAGGTGTGTCTTTAGTGTGGGCTGAAGTGGCTGATGCACCTTTCTCTGTAGCCAAGGGGTCTCCATGATACTCATTTGGTATTTTACGTGTCACTGGTTAACATGCCTGATAAATTTCCAGTAGAAGCTCTTGCTGTCACGACATCCTTCAGGAAATGCAGTAACTTGAAATACTGCTGCTTTGATGTGGGAGTGTTACCTGCGGCTTCACCTGATCGAGCTGGTGGAAATTTCCCAAACTCAGCAGCAAAATGGTCTCAAAGATATTTCCATTTTTTTAACCAGTGTCTCTGAGAAGACAAAAGATTTGGGAAGTAGTAAAAAAAAAACTTGATGATAATACATATTATGTTAATATGCATACTGTACATACATATCCTGGGCAGACATCCTTCAAGACTGTACTGTATTCTATAGACAAAGTACACACACACCTACATGCAAACACATTTTCAAGCTGCACCAAGGCTAACAACAATTATTATACTATTATATTCATCATCGTTTATTGACATTGCTTATATTATTTGCAAATATCTTGGCATAGGATCTTTGTTCCGTGCCCTTGCATTTTCGATTAGGGTCGGAGTGACAACGGTGAGAAAGATTGTTGCAGAGACTGTCTTCGCACTATGGGAAGAACTACAAGAGGAACACATGTCAGTACCAACAAAGGAGTCTTTCAAATTGATCGCTGAAGATTTCTACAACATATGGAATTTTCGTAACTTTAAGTTCAATTGATGGAAAACATATCCATTCAGGGTCAATGTACTTTACCACAATTTTTTTTTATTGTCCTTCAAGCTGTTGCAGATACACAATACAAGTTCATTGCTGTTGATGTAAGAGGCTTTGGAAAGCAAAGTGATTTTAATACGCTCCTGGCCTCGGAGCTGTACACTGTCTTGACAAAGAGAAAACTAGAAATTCCTTAACTTTCTTACCTACCAAATACAAATGTCAAAGACCTACATGTGTTTGTGGGGGATGAAGCCTATCCACTTTTATCTTTCCTACTAAAATGGTATGGTGGAAGTAATTTGACTATTGAAGATACCACCTTCAACCAACGTTTATCCAGGTGTAGGAGGACTGCCGAGAGTGCAAATATCTTGGCAGAGGATCTTTGTTCCATGCCCTTGCATTTTCGATTAGGGTCGGAGTGACAATGGTGAGAAAGATTATTGCAGAGACTGTTATCGCACTATGGAATTTCTAGAGTGCTTTTGGCATTTTACATAGCAAGTGGCATTTACTGTCAAAGTGTATGGAAACCAAAGTGGATTTGATTGATCATATTGTAAAATGTATGTGTATTCTGCTTAACACAATCATAGATAAAGAAGGCGTTGAACATCACCTAACTGAGACTGCCGTCTTTAATGGCCTACCCCTCTTCATACCCTTGGCTTCCCCTCCCCTCGATGCAGTGGCGTGGTGGCCGGGGGGGCGAAGAAAAAGCAGGGGGCGCCAAAGGTGTTTCAACTCTCCAAGAGGCGCTAAAAGCTCACTGAAAGCAAATATGTACAAAAAATCTACAGCGCTCCGAAAAGGCGCCTACAGTCCAACCTGTTATGAGCCTTACCATTGCCTAATCAAATACATTTGTACCAAGGGCGCAGTTCTCAAAGG